CAACTTTGCCGCCTCCTCCTCCTGCAACCTCTGCAGCTCCTGGAAGCTCGCCGTGAGGCTGCCCGACAGCTGGTGATCGGCGCCCAGGCTCTGGAGCAAGATCCCGAGGCCCTCGAGCGTGGCACCAACCCCCTTGATCGGCTCGTCGAGCGACGCCTTGTCGCCAGGCGTCGGAACCTGCCCTTGAAGCCTCTTGCGCTCCTGGTCCAGCTCCTCCATGCTAGCGTCGAGGGCCGCCAGCTTGTCCCGAGTGAGCCGTTCCTTCTCCTGCAGGTCGCGCAACTGCGCCTGCAGCCCATCGAGCTTGGTCTGCTGGTCGTCGCGCAGCTTCTGCAGCCTGGTGAACTGAGTTCCCATCTCGCGCAAGCGCTGTCCGAGCGGTCGGGACTCCGCCACCCTAGCCCGCAGCTCGGCCTGCTCGGCCAGCAGCTTGTCGCGCGTGGCCACGACCGACGGCTCGGTGATGCCCTTGAGCTTGCCGATGAGGTCGCCGACCTCGCGTAGCCTGTCCTTGGCGACGGACTCGGGGCCGTCTCCGTCCGCGGCCGGCTCCATCTGCACGTCCTCCCCGCCAGGCGGCGGCCTCTGCACAGCGGCAAGCCGCTTGCGGGCCTCGGCGAGCTCGGACTTGAGCTTGGCCACCTTGACGGAGTCGTCCCAGTAGCCGTTGCCGCTGCCGCCCTGATTGCCCTTCTTCCGCTGGGAGGGGGCCGCGGGCTGGCGCACGCTGTGGAAGACCAGTCCCTTGCCCAGCTTGCACTTCGCACACTGCCGCGCCTCTGCATGATTCCACCACGGTCTCCCCGAGGGCCCGCAGCAGCTCTTGCAGTACCAAGGAAGCGCCTGCTCCGAACGGTAATGCGGCGGTGGCATCTCCACGACACCAGGCAGCAGCACACACGGTGGGCCGTGGCAGCGCGATCTGGAAAGGACTGGGTGTGGGCGCCCAACTCCCACGGTGAAGGCGAACGGTGGTCTGGCCGCGGACTAGCGGTATCCGTGCGGTCCCCAGGGGAACCAATCATCTTGAGCCAAAATGGCTACGGAGGAGGAGGAGGAGGAGGAGGAGGAGGAGGAGGGAGGAGTGGGAGGAGGAGGGAGGAGGAGGAGGAGTAGGAGGAGGAGGAATAGGAGGAGGAGGAGGATGAGGAGGAGGAGGAGGAGGAGAGAGGAGGAGGAGGAGGAGGAGGGGACGGAGGAGGGAGGAGGCAGAGGATAGAAGAGAGAGGATCAGAAGGAGGATGACGAGAAGGAGGAGGAGGAGGAGCAGCAGCAGGAGGGGGAGGAGGAGGGCGGATGAGGAGGACATAACGAGGAAGGGGAGGATGGTACAGATGGGGAGGAGGAGGTGGCTTTGGATCGCGGCCGATCGTGCCGCTCAGAGTTGTGCAGTTGTCGCAAGGCCCAGCGGCGAGCGTCGAGCTCCGCGTGAGCTGCGGGAAATCAGATAGACCCTGAAACGAGGGTCTCCGATGTAAAAAATGCAGGAACCAATCCACGTCCCGATCCTCCTCATCCTGACCCACCTCTTCTCAAGACCCCTCCTCCTCCTCGTCCTCGTCCTCCTCCTCCTTTTCCTCTTCGTCCTCCCCCGCCTTCTCTTCGCATCTACTCGCATCTCCTCCTCCTCCTCCTCCTCCTCCTCCTCCTGATTATCCTACTCTTCTACCTGGTCCTCCTCACGCTCCTCCACCTCTTCCACCTCCACCTCCATTCCTGGCGCTCCGCCCCCTCCGTCCCCTCCTCCCTCCCCCCCCTTTCTCCGACCCGCTCCCCATGCCTCCGCCTCGCACGGGCGCCGTCATTAGCGACCCTCGGCCCGCAGTGTGGCGCAAAAGGCGGAACCCAGGCTAAAGAACCAGCCCGATGAGTGGTGCACGTTGTCGGCGCTGCCGCCGCACTCGGTGCCCCGTGCTCATCCGAAGTCGTCCCTTGTCTACTCCATCTGCCCTTTTCTCCTGCATCGTCTGACCGATCCCTATCCCCCCCTGGCGTGGCCTGGTCCCCACTGGCCGATCCAACCCCGAGATGGGGATACAGGCGGTTCCCTGCGGGCTTCGAGGGGCACATCCCCAACTGGGGTGGTGGGATGGTGGGGATCGGGATGGGGATGGGGATGGAGATGGGGATCGGTGAAAACGATACTGACTCACGCCGTCGTCACAGCTTGAGGCCACACGCCGACGGCACCCACCGAGATCGAGCGCCACCTCCACCGGGACAGACGTCGGCCTGGCCCTCCCCCAGCCGAGGCGCAGCCCCTGCTCTCGGTAGCGGCGCCAATGCGCAAGGCTTAGGTCGGGCGTGCCCACCTACAGGCGGATGTTGGACAAGCCATAAAGGATACCCTCAAACCAACACTCACATAGAATTGCAAAACACATACAAATCGTACCCATATGATGTCTCGACTATTTTGCTTCCGCCGTCGCCGCCATCGCAGCCTTGCAATCGTCGACGTCGTCGTCTCCAGACCTCTGGCAGATTGCTGTTTCAGTCCGTGGGCACTCTCGACCCCCATCCCCGAAGACCCCAGAATCGCCCCTAAGAGTCTTCCAGGAAAGCCCCAAGACGTCCCAACATGACTCCAGTACGGCTCAAGAGGCCCCCAAGGGGCCCCCAAGAAGGATAACATGAATAAGCCCTGGCAGCCCTTCCCTCGAAAGTTGCCACCAGGACCCCCAACGCACAGCCGGACCTAGGACAGAAAAGCATCCTTCAAGGACGGTGTGACGCTCCGCCAGCCAAACAGAAGAACATTCGAGGATACTCTCCCCAGGATGCACAAGAACATTCAACAACAACGAACAACAGTAGCTGAGCATTCGCTTAGGGTGGAAGGCCCAGGGTGAAACCAATATGGGCTTTAGCACCTCGGAAATCATTCCGTCTTGTGATTCCCCTTTTGCGAATTCAAGCCTGGAAAATCCATCGAAACGGTATTTCAGATTTCACCCTTTCTCCTCCACCCAAAGAGAATGCTCGGATCATAATACCCTCCCCGAATTGACCTCAATGTTTTGCCTCAATCCGTACCCCCTGGGCTCGTTTTGCCTTCCGCATCGTCTTCCGATGGTACCCGCGACAGGGAGCAGGCCCGCCAGAGGCAGCATGTGGAGGGACGGCAGCGCTGCGACCGAGCAGAGACCAGGCCGCTGGAAGTAAGCACGAAAACAAGACGAGGATAGCCTCGGGCGAGGACAAATCGAGAATCTCTGAGATCTAGCGGCTCTGGAAGATGTCATATCGGGCCTCGCGGCTTTCTCAGAGCGCTCCGGAACGCTCTGAGAGCGTTTTGGAACGCTCTGGAACGGACTCATCCTCGTCTTAACTATGTCCGATTCGATCCCCTCCCTAGCGCGCCCCCGGCGCCGAAGGCGCCGATCCAAGAAATGCGGGTGGATCGTCGGATGCTTGTGGTTGTGCCGCTTTGATCCCCAGGGCAGCTTGTACGTACGGGCTCCGTATGTCAAGGCATCCGACACACGTGAAAACACCGCCTAAATCTCCCCGATCCTCGATCCTCCCTCCTCCTCGCCCCTTGATTTCCAAGAGGATTTGGGGACTCCACCAGAGGCCTTTCAGATGGGGTCCGAGCAAACAGTGTCAGAAGATCGCGCTGCATCACCAATTCATCGTCAATGTATCGCCGATGCACCAGCGACGCATCGGCGACGACGCACATGCATCGGCGCCGTCGGCGTGGGGGACATCGGGCTCCTCATCAAGCCGCACCGCCGATACATCGGCGATTCGGCGCGACCCTCCGACCCTACCTACCATCTACTCGGAGCCCTCTTGTGGAAGTACCCGGAGTCAGTGCAACTCATGGGAGCCTCCCATTCGCCATCTTGCTTGCTGGCTCTTGCGAATCGTTGCTGAACCACGCAAGTCGACGCTGCATTGGCGGTGATCGATACTGATTCGGCAATAATCGAGCTGATGGACGCTAAACAGGCGCGTTCTCATCGACTATGAGGCGCTTTCGGAAGCCAATGCGCCCCAAAGACGAAGTCACGAGGGCTCACAAGGCTAAAGTGGATTATACCTTGCCTAATCTAGCTTAGATATGGGTTGCAACTGCCCCGAGTGGCTCAGGGGGTCAGCGATTCGGAACAAGGGGGCTCCGCCTACTGAGCAGAGTTATCTCACCCCCCAAGGCGACTTAGAGCATGTGGAACTCACCAGTAAGCCAGGTAAGGCCCCCCCCCATAGAGGCCTCCCAGATGGGGTCCGAGTTGATGGGGTCGAAAGATCGCGCCGCATCGGCGACGTCGGCGACGCATCCACGACGTCGGCGTGAAGCAAATCTGGCTCCACATCGAGCCGCCATCGGCAATGCATCGGTGATGCGGCGCGATCCTCCGAGCCCATTTACTCCGACCCCATCTGGGGACACCCAAAGGTACCGATACCGCAACTCCCCGGACCTCTCCTGAGGTGCGTTCTGACCAGGATTTCGTAGCGAATCAAGCGGTGGCGACGATGGAGGCCCAGGAGGCCCAAAAAGCAGAAAACGGCCGAAGGGTAGAGGTATGGGTACCTCGTTCTCCTCCGACCCCATCTGAGAGACCTATAGACCCCATCTCCTCCGCAACCTCCGCGCCGATCCTGACAGGCCTGTTTTCCGCCCCCACCACTAATCCAGAAGTTGGAGGGGGGAAGCAGGAGGAGGAGGAGGTGGAGGAGGAGGTGGAGGAGGAGGTGGAGGAGGGGAGGAGGAGGACGAGGAGGACCCCCTCCCGCTCCAGATTTATGGTGGTGGTGCTGGTGGATCCCGGCTGGCGTTAAGTCGGGCGTGTCCCCCTACAGGGGGGTTTTGGACGAAAAATAACAAACAGTAAAAACACACCCCAGGAAATCATCACAAAAATGCAAACAAATCGTCCCCAGACTATTTTGTTTACGATTTTTGTTTGGCCATTCCTCCTGCAGAGAGGGACAGGCCCGCCGTAAGGCCGGCGCTGCCCCGCGGCCCCGCCAGCGGCCCGCGGCCGCGCTCACGCGCGCTTGGCCGGGCAGGGGCGCCGGGCCAGGCTGGCGCGCTCCAGCAGCCGCGCGCCGCGCGCCTCGCAGCCCTGGCGCGCCCAGGCCCCGGCCACCGACTGGTAGGGGCCGGAGGTGTCGAGGCCGGCCTCCTCCATCCGCTGGGCCCACTTCTCGGCCTTGAGGCGCTGCCATAAGGGGACCACGTGCGAACCCCGGGCCCCTATATACCCCCCACGATTTCCGAGGGGGAGGGTGGGGTTCACTTCGCTCGGGAGCTCCCGAGCGAACGTGAACCTCAGCTTCCCCCTCAGCAATCGTAGGGGGTAGGGGTATGGTTCGCATGTGGCCCCCTAGCTTCGTGGGGGCCGCTGGGGCAGCGTCCCATGACATGATCGCGTTTTTGTTCCCCCCCACATCCAAAGCGGGGTTCTTGTTCTCTCTGGACACCTCGCGCAGGAACCTCACCTCGCCTCCCCCCCCCCTCTCCCCTTCACTCACCATCATCATCATCATCATCATCATCATCATCATCATCATCATCATCATTATCATCATCATCATCATCATCATCATCATCATCATCATCATCATCAGCATCATTATCATCATCATCATCATCATCATCATCATCAGCATCAGCATCAGCATCAGCATCAACATCATCATCATCATCATCATCATTACCACCACTCATCGCCACTACCCCTCATCATCCTCACCATCGTCAGCATCATCACCATCATCACCAAGAACATCCGCATCATTCGATCATTCATCATCATTATCATCCTCACCTTTATCAACATCATCATCATTCGGCCACTCATCATCATCACCACTCATCATCATCAGCATCATCCTCATCACCACTCGCTCACTCATCACTTCGTCACCACTCACTCCCTAGATTGAATATTAGGGACGTCTCGAGCGGGAGCCTCGTGTGTGAGTGAATTGCGGGCAGGCGGGAGCCTCGTCTGTGAGTGAATTGCGTGGAAGTTTCATGCGGGAACCCTCTCCCTATGGGGCCCGCACCTCATCAATTCAATCCGAGCGGGTCATCGGAACCCTGTAACTGTCGTCACTTTTGGGGTGCTGAAGCCTGAATGTCTCAGGCGGGAACCCTCGCCCTATAGGGCCGCGCTTCATTTTGTAATCCGAGCGGGTCATCGGAGCTTTGTAACTGTCGTCACTTTTGGGACGCTGAGGCCAGAATGTGGAGGATGTGTCAGGCGAGAGCCTCGTCAGTGAGTGAAACGCGAGGAAGTCTCAGGCGGGAGCCTCTTCCCTATGGGGCCCGCACCTTATGTTACTAATCCGAGCGGGCCGTCCCAACCGTGGAGCTGTTGACACTTTTGGGCTCCTGAGGGTGGGAGTACGGAGAAATTATCAGGCGGGATCCTCGTATGTGAAAGAATTGCGAGGAAGTCTCAGGCGGGAAGTTCCTCCCTATAGGGCTCGCAGTTTATGTTCGAATCCGAGGCGGGTCATCGGCAACGTGTAATTGTCGTCACTTCTGGGCTCCTCAGGCTTGAGTATTGAGGAATTCTCATTCGGGATCCTCATTTGAGAATGAATTTCGAGGACGTCGCAGGCGGGAGCCTCCCCCCGATGGGGCTTGCACCTCATGTTCGAATCCGAGGCGGGTCATCGGCAACCTGTAACTGTCGTCACTTTTGGGCTCCTCGAACTTGAGTCTTGAGAAAGTCTCAGCCGGGATCCTCGTCAATGAATGAATTTCGACGAAGTCGCAAGCGGGAATCCCCTCCCTATGGAGGCCGAACCTCACGTTTGTAATCCAAGCGGATCATCGGCAACCTGTAAGTGTTGTCGCTTCTGGGCGGGAGCCTCGTCTGTGAGTGAATTGCGAGGAGGTCTCGGGCGGAAGCCCCCTCCCTGTGGGGCCGGCGCGTCATGTTGGTAATCCGGGCGGGTCATCGGCAACATGTAATTGTCGTTACTTTGGAGCTCCTCAAGTTTGAGTGTGGCGGAAACCTGAGGCGGCCACCGGTGGAGGCGCCGGTCCAGAGAGGGCGCCGAGGCGGGCAAGGGCGTGGAGCACCCGGGCGCGCCCTCTTTGGCGGTCCAAGCGTACTTCCAGCCGGTCCCGACATGGGGCATCGACGGGGAGCAGGACATGGTGGACGTGCTGAACTCCGCGCACCGCAAGCGTCTCACGAAGCTGGTACAACAACTCGTCGCGTTCCGGTGCACGTCCGTGGCAGTCCGCGAAGACGTGGGCGCGCCCGCGCCAGCGGACGCCGCGACCGCTCCTGCTCCCGCGGCCGGGTACCGACCGCTGGTGGCTGCGGCGCGCGAAGAGAGACACTCCTGGGCGAAACTGCACGACGACCGCCCGCAGGGCAATGGCGACAAGGATGACGCGGGCGCCGACGACGGCGCGGACGAGGACACTGGCGGCCTGGACGGCGCCCCCGCTGCGGCCAGCTTCGACGGCAGCGTGTGCGCCACGCCCAGCGCGCACATTGCCCACGTGGTCGCTGAATTGCCAGAGGACCAGAGACTCACGCGGGACCGAACGCTTTTCGTCGCTAAGTTCGCCAAGGCCTGCGGCGAAGCCTGGGAGGACGACGTCCAGAAGAAGCCGTGGGCCGAAAGAAAAGCGACACACTTGCTCCTGCTGGGCCAAGGCGGCTCGGGGACTACGCGCATGGTGCAGAAGATCGTCTTCCCAGTGGTGGAGTATTTGCGGCCCTCGCTGGCTCAGGACAAGGCCAGCATGATGGCGGCGGCCTTCTCGCACGCGCAAGCGAAGAGTATCTCCGCGGATACGGTGAATGCCAGAACCATGCACAACGCCTGCGCTCTGCGAGCCCAGACATACATCAACGCGAAGATGAGGCCTGGGAGCATGCAGAAGAAATTGAAGTGGTTGTGGGAGCACGTCCGCGTTCTGGCCATCGAGGAGGCATGGTGGCGGCAGCGCTCCGTAACGCGCTGGAAAGATCGCGCGTGCCACAGACGAAGTGACACGGAGACGTGCTGGAGTCCACCTACAAGCGGCCGCGCCACCATTTCGGGCGCGCCCCCACCGCGCTGCAATCGGCCCCCTGGCGGACGCGAACGAGCTCCCGGACGACGGACGCACGTGCAAGTACGCGGGGCCGCCAAGGGTGGATATTCAGCACGCCATCAAGATCTTCTCTCAGATCCCCTGCGTCTTCGAGCTGAAGGGCACGAGGCGCTTCGAGCCCAGGGGCCCTCTGATCACGCTCTTGGGCTGCACGCGCGAGGGCAAGCTTTATCACCGGATGTCTGGTCCGCCTGGAAGAAGACGCTGGCGTCGGACAACCGCGGCGACCTGGACACTCGGCACCAGCACGACAACTTTCGGCTCGGCTACGGCGTGGGCATCTACTGGGAGACGCTGGCGAGGTGGATCAACGCGCGCGCTCGTCGCGACGCGCGGCGCCTGGGCGTGCCCCTCGTTTTCTTGCAGGCCGTCGACGAGCGCAGCGCGATTCATGGCGATCCCGACGCGGGCCTGCGCCTCCTGAGCGCCCCGAACACGCGCAAGACGGGGGACATCCACGGCGCCTTGCCGGCCAACGTCGGCATGGAGGTGCGATTCACGGCAGTGCAGGAAGAGCTGAAGAAGATGGGGCTCGTGCAGGAACAACGGGCCACCATCGTGCCCTTCGAATTTCACCGCGAGGACGAGCAGCGGCACGAGGAGTGCTCGGAAGGCCAGCTCTTCCGCTTCGCTTTCCAACCGCAGGGAATCTGGCTGCAGGCGCACGGCTTCATGGAGCCCCCGATCTACCAGGAGGTCGCCGAGGTGCTGCGACAGGGCGCCGAAGACGCCGACGATGACGGCCAGGCCGAGACGCGGGCTCGGAACGTGCTGATGTTCAGGCCTTGGCTGTCATTTGGGGGTATCTTCTATAGGGAGGTAGCGCGCAACGCTGGCATCGATTTTAAAGCGCCTAAGGATATTTCGGCGCTGGGGCCGAGCGGAAGGGGGGGCGATAGAAGCGCGCCCTCGGCGGGGCATGGATGGGGGTTACAGCAAGAGGAGCAACGCTGGCAGGGAGAAGGGCGAAGGGGGTGAGGAAGGCGACCCACGCCGATACCACTGATGCCAAACCGCCGCGCTCGTTGTTCTGTTTTCCCCTCGCCACCCCCGCCCTCCCCCCGCATCAACCTGCATCCTTCATTCCGTTTCCCAATTTCATATTGACCCCCCCCCCCCCCCGCGCCCCCCTGCTCGTCATCCCTCCGCCTTCCACGTTCAATGTGTTCCTTCCTCCCCCCTCCCCGCCCCCATTCAAACCCGCCCCGCCCCCCCCCCCCCCCCCCCCCCCCACCCCCCCCGAACAACATGTCCTCCGCCTCTGCCCCCGCCCCCGCGGCGCCCCCCAGCCCCCCTACGCCGCCATGTTTCATTCCGCCCTCCACGTTCCACAATCCAGCTTCGTTCACCCCCTGCCTTCTCTTTCCTTCTCCTACATGCCTCGCCCCCTCTTCCCACGCCGTGCGCCCATTGTGGCAGTTTACAAGTTTCCACATTGCCTCCTGGAGCCCTTGCCTTCCCCCCGCACACCCCCTTCCCTCTGCCTTCCGTCCTTCGTGAGTTGCCAGCCTCCCTGTCGCACTTCCATTTGATCCAGCCCCTATCCCGAATTTCCTCGGCACGCCCCGCCCCCCGCTGGCGCCGCTGGCGACCGCCTGCCCAACGGGTCAGTCTGAAGCAGGACCAGAACCACATTTCAAGCCAACCACTTGCTTCTAGACAAGATTAACGAAACAACGCCCCACTTACGTCTACACGCAAGGCCGCAACCACAAGTCGACGCAGACACCTGTCTATAGACATAAGCGAAAACCAGACGCACCCCATCTAATGTCCACACCGACAATCGTAAACACAAGAGAACAGGCAATGTCTACCACCCCGAGACGCGTAGACATAAGACACGACTTAGTATCGAAGAGAAACAATCTCGGTTGACATAGCGCCAATTCTAATGTCAACCGGAAACGAAATATACATTAGTTTCGGGCACCCCCCAAACCGCAGATGCCGTTGACATAACGAGGCCCGTGTCGTCACGGCCATAATGTCTACCATTGTTGTGCGTTTCGGGATCTTTTGGTATCATCATACTACCCTCGCCAAATGCGAACTCTTCAGCAGTCGGCTCCCTCGGCGCGATTCGCGCGAACGGTGCGCCGAAATGGGCGCGCAGACGAATTGCGGACCCCTCCGATGGGGCTGTAGATGGACCTTTCCAGAGGGCGCGGTGCGAGTCGCTAACGCGCCGCAATGGGCGCAGCGCCGCCGCGCGAATTCCTCCTCGCGGCCCATCGATGGAGCGCCTAGTCGCGCGCGATGCGCTTCATGGGCGCGACGATATGGGCGCGCATCCAGCGCGCGAGTTCTTCCGAAGGGGCACGGGGCGCCTGTGCTGGGGCAGTGTCCGCGGGGCGGGCGTGCCGAGAACAGCGCCAGCGCGCGTCGAGCGACCCAGAGGGGCCGCGCTAGGAGCTCCTCATGGGCGCGCGATCCGCGCAAGGAAGCGCCGAAATGGGCGCGGCGGCAGCAATGGCGGAAGGAGATATGGGGGGGCGAAGGACTAGGAGGGTCCGCGCGGCGCAGCGGGGAGAACACGATAATCCAACATGCGAGAAAATGAAAATAGCACGGGCGGCAATATGGCGAGGAAGCGGGACGCAGGGCAAGAGCGGCGGACACGCGAGGAACAGCGGAGAGGAAGCCCCACCCAACAAAAAAAAAAGGGTTACACATAACGCATAACAGCACCCCAACACTGAAGGAAATTCCAAAACCTCCCGCCTTAGAGGTCGCACCGGCAGCAGACCCGCGCTCTCGCGGCGTCAGCGCAGGACCGCAGCTTCTCAGCCCCAGACGACATGGATATTCTCAACGGCGCCTTATGTCTGCACTGGCTTCTGGCTGTACAGAAATAACCTTGAGCAGCGCCCAGCTGACTGCCAATTCAGGCCCAGCGAGCAGGAGCTCACCTAGCAGAGCTCGGGGCCGCACGCTGTGCGCCGCTCGGGGTTCACCTTGACTCACGCGTCCTACCTCGCCTCCACGCTGTGGCAGAGCCAGACGCTGCGCAAGGGCGTCACCATCGACTGCGCGAGGGACGAGGACGCTGGCCGCACGGGCAGGTCGGACGACCAATGGTGGCTGCACCTCTACGTCATGCTACCCCGCGCCACGCGCATGCGGAACATGCTGATCCTGCGGCCGCCTTCGCGCGAGTTTCTGGAGCGCGGGCCGGCGGCGTCATTGCGGGAGGCGCTCAAGGGGTTCGATGAGAAAGCGAAGGCCTCCAGGGATGAGGCCGAGCAATTCGCCGCGGAGCTTGGCTTCGTGCTGCCTCCCGCCTGGGCGCCGCGGCGCGCAGCTTGAGGCCCGCGGGGTTGTCCCAACGGTCTGGCCCGTGGGGTTGTCCCGACGGCCTGCCCTCGCGCCGCAGCGGCCCGCGGGGTCGTCCCAAAGGCATGGCCCGCGGGGCTGTCCCAGAGGGGCTTCGCGATCTAGCCATCGGCGATCGCGCGCGCGTTGGCCGAGGCGGCGACGGCGCCGAGGAAAATCTACTTGCTTGCCCCGACCAAGGGGGGAAAGAGGTGCACATAGAGAAGCGGCAGGAGGATGAGGAGGGGGGCAGGGGTAGAGGGAGGGCGATGATGAGGAGGTGGAGAAGGAGGAGGAGGAAAAATAAACAGGAAGAGGAAGAGGAGAGAGCAGAGTTCAGGGCGAAAGGAGTATGTACGCCAGGGCGACGGGGGAGGGGCTAAGGGTAAGTTAAACAGATTATCATGTGGGGTCTTACCGTTGGAGTAATTTGTTTCTTAAATAAAACATTACGGGAATTTGTTTGTAGCCCATCTCGGTCTCGCGGGGGGGGCCCTCGCCTGGCATCGGGACCGTCAAAAAACGACTCAGGATGAAGAGCCGGCCCCGGGGAAGGGTCTGGGCTTCCGGGGGGCGCCGTCCTGACGAAACACGGGACGTCGCATGACTGGGGTGCCAAGGCGTCGATCTCCGAGGAGGAGGACGAAGACGAGGAGGAGGAGGAGGAGGAGGAGGAGGGCGAGGAGGAGGAGGAGGAGGGCGAGGAGGAGGGGCGAGGAGGAGGAGGAGGACGAAGATGATGATGATGAGGAGGAGGAGGAGGAGGAGGAGGAGGAGGAGGAGGACCCTCTCCACTCCCACTGATGGTGGTGGTGGAGACAGGCCGATCACAGGTGGGGACGGCTTGCAGATCGGTTTTCGGTGGCAGCACGCCGGAGGGCGTGCAGAGGGCGGGCGGGCGGCGACACACGTCGCTTGCTGTCCTTGCGACGCCAGCCGTGTCGGGAAGGCAAGACCATGCTTAGGTCGGGCGTGTCCCCCTACAGGCGCATTTTGAAGACAAATATGAAGGGGCCCCAGGACACACAAATAAATATACACAAATAAACATATTCCCTATATTTTCCTATATTTTCTGGGTTTTCGTCTTACCCCCCACTTCCCATATTTTCCCATATTTTCCTGGGAGTCGACGATTAATTGTGTCTGTGTGTTTTTTTTTCTCCTCCTGAAAATAGAACATAATCAGAACATGTGCAAGAATTATCAAACATAAGCAAAAAGTCGGGCCCGGACTATTCTTCCTAGTTTCGAATATTCCTCCTGTAGAGGGGCACGTCCGACTTCAGAATAGACCCGAGCGCAAACTTCCATGTATAGGAGCGCGTTCTGTCGGACACGGGTGGGGACAGCGTGTAGATCGGCTCGGTGGTAGCACACCAGACGGCGTGCAGAAAGCGGGCCGGTGGCAACACATCGCCTACTATCCTTGCGACGTCAGGCGTGTTGGGAAGGCAAAACCATCCTTAGGTCGGGCGTATCCCCCTACAGGCGGAGTTTGGGCGAAAAAAAAGATAGACAAAACATGAACCCAAATGCGCAAAAATGATCAACAAATAGCCCTCAGACCATTTTTTGTCTATTTTGGAATATTCCTCCTGTAGAGGGACAGGCCCGACTCAAGACTATCAGTGGCACACCACCACTGCTCGGAGCCCGACCGCGTGCTGCTCTTCCATTTTTCTGTCAGGAGGCGCGGGGTCCCCACGGAGGCGCGCCATGAATGCTGTTTGTGCTCCCCGATCTGAGTACGATTAAGTCGGGCGTGTCCCTCTACAGGGGGTATATTCAAAAATAGCCCCCAAAAATAGCCTGGGGACGATTTTTCATTATTGGTCGACCATTTTGGGGCATTTGTGGTGCATTTGTTCTTCGAAATTTGCCTGTAGGGGGGCATGCCCGACCTAAGAATACGAAGGAAGCCCCGTGGGAGAGTCACGGAGTAATGTGAACGCGAGTTTGCGGCCTCCCTGGGGGGCCCTCGGCAAGCCTCGGGACCCTCAGAAAACAGTGTTCAGGAGGAAAGCCTGGTCCCAGGAAAGGGGTCCAGACCTCTTGGGGTCTGCATTGCAACGGCGGGTCTTCCTCCTCCTCCTCCTCCTCTTCCTCCTCCTCCTCCTCCTCCTCCTCCTCCTCCTCCTCCTCCTCCTCCTCCTACTCTTACTCCTACTCTTCTTCCTCCTCCTCCTCCTCCTCCTCCTCCTCCTCCTCCCGGGAAACGGGTCTTCGACATTTGTTTGCCGTTCTCGGGCTCCCTGGGTCCGCGGGCCCCGGGACGGCAACACGAACCACTCGGGGCGAGAAACCGGCCCTGGGCAAAGCGTCGGGACTGCTGGGGACCTCGCAGTGGGCAACAATCTCTCCCAACATCGGATCTCTGGAAACGGGCTCTGAGGCCGACCAGCTACAACTGGGGGAGCTGTGGTCCTTGCCCTCCTGGGGGAACCCACCGCGTCGACGATCTCGCGAGAGGGGTGTCGAAATCGAGGGGTCCCCCGAGGGGGGGAAGGACCACAGCTCCCCCAGTTGTGGCTGGCCTGTGAGGGCAACGGCTCCTGGACTTGCCTCCCCCGCTTCCGGGCCACAGGAGCCCTCCGCGGGGCCGCCCTGGCCCGTCAAACGAGCGGCCCCGGGCCGTCGGATCATGGACGAGCGCGTTCCACTACTCGCAAAGTCACTACTCGCAAATGGTCTGGATCCGCCGCGGGGGATCTCCGCAACTTTACACAAAGGGAGACTTTTTCTTCTCGGACGTTTGCGAGTAGGCACTCTGCGAGTAGTGGAACGCGCTCAGTGAGATTAGAAGGCCCGGTTCCCTCGGGACCCCCTTCCCTCCACGGCGGGCCTTGTCGAGCTCGCCGGCGCGGGTGCACCGATTGATGAGGCTCGTGAAGGAGGCGGAGCCAGGGGTCAGGCCGACGCCAAGCGCCTCGCCGAGCCAGCGCTCCGCCTTCGCGGTGTGGCCGGAGTGGACGCACGCCTGGATCACGGTGTCGTAGCAGAACTGGCTGGGGGGCTCCCCGGCGGCCTTCATGGCCACGAGCCAACTCTCGGCGCGGGGCAGCTCGTGGGACTTCACGCACCCGTGGATCACCGTGCTGTAGCTCACGCTGTCTGGCTTGACGCCCCGCTTCTGCATCTCGGCCAGCCACTTCTCGGCGCGGAGGAGGTCGCCGGACTTTGCGCAGGCGTTGATCACGGAGTTGTACGTGAGCGCGCAGGGGTGGAGACCCGCGTCTTGCATCTTGCTCAGCCACTCCTCTGCACGCGCCCCGTCCCCAGCCCTTGCGCAGGCGTTGATCAGGCAGTTGTACGTGACCACGTTGCCCATGACGCCCGCCTTCTGCATGCGCGCCATCCAGCCTTCGGCGCGGCGGAGGTCGCTGCTCTTGGCGCAGGCGTGGATCAGCGTGGAGTAACTGATCACGTCGGCCTCGATGCCCATGCCGAGCATCTGCTCGAGCCACCGCTCAGCCCTGCTCGTGTCTCCCTGCTTGGCGCAGGCGCCGATCAGGCTGTTGTACATGGAATTCGTCGGGGCGACACCCGCGTCCAACATCCTCTGGAGCACGTCCTCGATGCCCGACACGTGGCCTGACTTCACGAGAGCGTGCACCAGCGTGCCGTATATTTTGGTGCTGGCCTGGAGGCCCGCCTTCTCCATCGCGTGGAGCCACGCGTTCGCCCTCGTCGTGTCGCCCACGCGCAGGCAGGCGTCAATGGCAGTGGTGTAGCTCACCGTGTCGGGCTCGACGGCTCCTTCGTCGATCATGTATTTCAGCCAACTCTCCGCGCGGACGGCGTCCTTGGCCCTGGCGCAAGTGCCGATGATGGCGTTGAAGGTCACGACGTCGGGTTCCAGGCCCGCCTTGGCCATCTCGCGGTACCAATTCTCCGCGCCGGCCACGTCGCCGCTGCGAGTGAATGCCTTGATGATCGTGTTATAGCTGACCTTGTCGGCGACGACGCCGTCCTTGCGAGGCGGAGATTTATCAGCATCCAATGCCTGGGAACCGATGTCCTAGGATCCCATGGGCGGTGGATATGGATTTCGTGGGGCCTCCTGGCCCCACAATATGTGTGTATGTATGTTTGTGTATAGGTATAGATATAGATACAGATATAGATATCGATATATACACAGACCCATACCCGAGCACGAGGCCCCGGCGCCCCAGGCCGCGACATGGACCTTACATGGCGGGACCGGGGCCTCCGAGACCGCTCCCAGAGCACCCCAGAAGGGCCGTGGAGCCCCCAGACTGCCCCAGAGAGCCCCTGGGGGACTTCGACAAGCCCCTCCAAGACAGCCCAGATAGCCCCAACGTGACCCCAGATGGGTTCCAGACCGCAAATACACAGCCCAAGAGCCCTCCAAGAGGCCTCAAGAGACCTCCGAGAGGCGTTCCGAGAGAGCCCGACGAGGTCAAAATCCTTGATTATCATGTGTTTTTCCACATGTGTTTCGATGTCCATTGTTCTCGACCTTCCGACGCTCCACGGCAGCCGACGACGCCCCCAAGACCGCCCCAAGACCGCCGAAGAGGCCCGCAACAGAGCCCCAAAACGGCCCCAGGGAGCCCGAAAACTGCCTGGGCTGAGCCTCAGACGGTCCAAGAGAGCCCCAGGACAGGCCCAAGCTGGGCCCCAGAGCGGGAGCGGGAGACCCCAAAGCGCTCCAAGACGGCCCTGATGGCCCAAACGTGGCCCCAGATGGGCCCGACACGGCCAATACACAACCCAAGAGCCCTCCAGGAGGCTTCAAAGAGAGCTCCGAGAGGCGTCCCGAGAGAGCCCGAAGAGGGCCATATCCTTGATTTCCAATTGTTTTTTTCAAATGTGTGGGTTCGCTTCCTCGCGTTCTCGAGCTTCCAACGCTCGAAGACGGCCGAAGGCGCCCCGAAGATCGCCCCAGGACCGCCGGAGAGGCCCCCCCCAAAAAGTTCCAAGGCGGCCCCTGAGAGCCTGAAGACTGCCCAAGAGCAGCCCACAGCTGCCCAAGAGAGTCCCAGGAAAGGCACAACATGGGCCCCAGAGCGGGAGCGGGAGGCCCCAGGGCGCTCCAGGACGGCCGAGATGATTCCAACGTGGCCCAAGAGGAGCCCAAGACGGCAACCAGACAGCCCAAAAGGCCTCCAAAAGAGCTCAAGAAGGGCTCCGAGAGACGTCCCGAAAGATCCCAAAGAGGCCTAGATCATTGATTTGCATTGGCTTAATCGACGTGTTCTCGCTTTCTCGCGTTCTCGAGCTTCCAATGCTCGAAGACGGCTGCAGGCGCCCACAAGACCGCCCCGAGACCGCTGAAGAGGCACCCAACAGAGCCCCAAGACGGAGCCAGGGAGTGCGACAATAGTTCAGGACGAGCCCCAGACGGCCCAAGAGAACGCCAGGACAGGCCCAAGCTGGGCGACACAGCGGGAGCGGGAGGCCCCAAAGCGCTCCAAGACGGCCCAGCTGGCCCGGGCATCCCCCTTCCGTCCCTCCTTCCCTCCCGCCCCCTCCCTTTGCCTCCATTCCCTCCTCTCTCCTCTTCCTCCCCTCACCCCTCAGCTTTCGTACTCCTCCCTCCTCTCCTGGGACGGCCCCGCCAGAGCGCCAGACAGGCCCCGCCAGAGCGAGCGGGGCACCGCTACACCCTATCTTTTCACAAAATGCTTTCCCCCTCCCACCCCTGAAGGACGGCCCTGGCAGAGCGAGAGCGTTCTGACTACGCGTTTCTTTGCGTCGATGGCATGGGCCCGAGAACGCTGGACATCGTCGTTGTGACCACAGCGGGGCTTACAGCGGCATCCGTGCCTCATCTGCGACTCGGACCTAAGCGCGCGCGTAGCGCGCGTGGTTCTAGTGTGTGTATATATATGACCATATCCACCGCCTGCCGGGGTCCCCGAAGATCGCTTCCTCAGGCGGCAGTTATGGATGAACTTCCGCCTCGAAGTCCTTGTGCATCTCCTGGATGCACGCCACCGCGCCCGCGAAGTCGGCCTTCCGGGCGTACATGTTCAGCAAGAGGTTGTAACTCATCGTATTGGGCTTGTCCCCCCTTTCGCGCATCTGCTTAAACCAGGCCTGCGCCCTGTCGACATCGCCGGTGCGGTTGCAAGCGCCCAGGAACATGTTGTAACTCACCGCGTCCAGGGCGACTCCCTCCCGCACCATGCGCCGCAGCCAGTCCTAGAATGACTAAACATGCGTATAAGCGCCGAGGTGATGCTACGTGCTCGACCATGGGCCCCTTGTTTGGAGGGGTTCGGCCACGGGCACGTGTTCGACCACGGGCTTGTCTTCGACCACAGGCACGTGTTCGACCGTGTTCGCCCTAAAATTAGGTCTGGCCTGTCCCCCTACAGGCCAGGTTTGAACGACAAGTAACAAATACACCCAAAAAACTCAAAACCAAAAATATAGCCACAAACTAGTCCCCAAACTATGGTCAGCTATTTTTGACAATTCCCCCTGTGGAGGGACACCTTCCGACTTCATGTTCGCACTCACAACGACATGATCATGAAATGTCGGAGGTCCACGCGGACCTCTTGGGATCAGAGCCGCACCCCCGTCTCAGTGGCAGGCGGGACGGGCCAGGGGCGGCGCCAGAGGCTCCGCCAGGGGGGGGCCCGAAACACCTGATAAGCGCTCGGCGGCCTGGGCAAAAGAAACAACTGATAAGCATTAGGTCGGGCCTGTCCCCCTACAGGGGGGTTTTGGATGAACAATCAAAAAGTACACCAAACATGTTCCAAAATGGTCACAAGCATATTCCAAACATCGTCCCCAGACTATTCGTTTACTATCTTAAAATTTCCCCCCCTGTAGAGGGACAGGCCCGACTTAAGATAAGCACGAACTTTCGGAGGTGTTGGCGGATTTCCGGGATCTCAAGGCCCCGTAAGCACGGACACGCTAGACCCGGACACCCGACATCCATCGCAACCGATTTTTCCACAAGCTGGTATGAACAAAATACTGCACTGCAACACATCCAGAATAAACCTGGACACAGGCCCTAAAAGCCTACAAGACCCCCCTAAGCCCGGACACAAACCCGAAGCCTGCAGTGCAGCAGACAAAAAATGCACGGGTACTTGAACATGTGACTTTGCAGGGAAGGGTGCCGTGTTCTGGGTTGTCCGTGTCCTGGTTTTTCTGTGTCCTGGTCTCCGGGGGGCCTGAGGATCGGCGCCAGAGGCGTTGCCGGGCCGGCCCAAGGGCCGACCCAAAAGATCCGCACGGAGCTTCCAAAGCTTCTGTTCGTGCAGTCTGGCTTGAAACTCTCCGCCGCCGCGCGTGGCGAGGGGGCTCTCCGACGCGCCGGGCCCAGGATGCGCGCTCCCTCCTGTGCACGTACCGGGATGGGCCTAGGATCGGATGTTTTTGAAGGGGCCCCAGGACACACAAATAAATACACACAAATAAAATAATTCCCCATATTTTCATATATTTTCTGGGTTTTTGTCTTCCCCCCCACTTCCCATATTTTCCCATATTTTCCTGGGGAGTCGAGGATTAATTGTGTCTGTGTGTTTCTTTCCCTCCTGACATTGGGCCCCCAGGATGCGCGCTCGGGGCCCAGGGTGGCCACGGCCCTGCGCCGGTGGCCTTCAAAGGGAAAAAACGGGTCCCACATACAAGCCTGGGGACGGGGGGTTCCATGGACCTCCCTCCTCCCTCCACCCCCAAGCCACCCACCCCCTCGCGCACCCGAGCGTGGTGGCGCAATCGCGCGGCATCGCAACCGGGTTCGCCGTCCTCGGCGGCCTCAACGTCACCCTTCTTGGAGAGGATGTCCAGAATGGTGCTATACGTGTTGACCGTCGGCTGCACGCCGTCCGCAATCATGCGCTCAATCCACACTGCGGCGCGGTCGTCGTTCCTAACCAGCCTCGAGCTGAACCTTCTCCCTCAGACTGACGAGCCCGAACGCGATGACAATCCTAGGGATGCGCCCTCGGAAACCGAGGGGATCCACAAGATCGGCATCGAGATAAGGCGATGTCAATCATAGTGAGCGTTTTCTTATTCGGCGTTTCGACATTGGGCGGAAGGGGGGAGGGGGATGGGGGGGGGGTCTGGCTCTGGACCTCTGCTTAGTGCAACTGTTTGCAACGGTGCGTCCTCTGGGGGAGGCGCCACCTGCCCGAAACAGGCGCCGAAACAGCCATACTCCATGAGGGGGGGAGGGGGGGCAGGGCTGAACCTAAACGGTGTTTTTCGTTTTCGCTTTGTGTTCGTTTTCCCTCGCTCTTGTCTCGAATCCGCCTTTACTGCAAAACGAAATCGAAACGAAGACGGCCCACGAAATCGCCCAAACACTGTTTAGGTCCAGCCCTGAGAGGGGGTGCGAGGGCCCGCGCCGATCAGCAAAACAGCGAAGAAAAAAACGATCACATAGTGATGAGGATCTGTTCCAGGCTGGTGAGCTCCCGGCGCGGGCGCACGAGTGGATCACCGCGTTGTAGCAGATCGCGTTCGGCTCCACCCCGTCGCGGCGCATGCGCTCCAGCCAGGCCTCCGCGCGAGCCGTCTCGCCCGCCTCCAGGGCTGCACGGGCCCCTGCTGCCCCTCGACTCGCGCCAGGGCCTCCACGGTGTGCTCCAGATGTCCGCGGAGATCGCTGGGTTGACTTAGTGGGGGGCCCAAAAATATACACCACCACCACCTCCCTCACCCCCTCCCTCCCCCAGGAAAGAGGAAAGGAACAGAGCGGAGAGGAGGAATCGACGTGGGTGGTGTATATTCTTTGGGTCCCCACTTAGGTTTGCATGAGCCCTTCTGGATTCGTCTGGATTTGCCTATCTGTACGATGAGTCCGTGCGGCGTCGGCGCGCGCAAAGGTTTTTGACACTGTGTCGATCGTTCAACCTTGAATCGATCGCGGCCCCGATCGTTCAAGGTTGAATTCCGTCGGGTCCAATGGCGTCACCGCGTCCCTCGGTGTTTCCCCGTCTCAGAATTAAACCTTGAACGCGTTCGCCCGCGTCACCGGCGCGCCAACGCCGCACGAAGCTACAGTATCTGGATGTACCTGGATGTACCTGGCTCTGTGCACGCAAGTCGATGGGAGAGAAGCCGTTCAGCCCCCAGGGAGCCTTGCCGCACGCGTGGATGACCGAGCAGTAGCTTACAACGTTCGGCGTCACCGAGGATTCCCACATGGACTGCAGCCACATCTCCGCCCTGCCGGGGTTGCCCGCCCGTGCACAGGCGTCGATGACAGCGTTGTAGCTCATGGCGTCGGACTCGACGCCAAGCTTCGGCATCCTCTGCAGCCACTGCTCGGCCCGCACAAAGTCGCCCACCTTCGCGTGGGCGCTGATGGTGATGTTGAGGCAGATGGTATTGGGCTTCCCGACGCCCGTCCTGATGAGCTCGTTCAGCCAACGCTCCGCGCCCATGGCGTCGCCCGCCTTTTGGCACGAAGGGAACAAGCCCTGAGGGGAACGGGTCCTGGACCCAGGGACTTCCACCGGACGAGCTGTTCATCCAAGGCCCAGAGCCTAGCCCCGAGAGCCCGAACAAGACCCGTTTCCCTGATGGCCCCTTTGCTTCATGGCGAACCTTCGCGTGTGCGCTGATGAGGGCGCCGTATCCGACCACCGGCATCTGCGTGCCGTCGGCCATAAGCTTGGACGCGATGGCCTCGGCGGTGGCCGCGTCGCCCACCCTCGCCGCCGCGTGCAGTCGCAGCAGGCTTCCGCTCATCGCGGAGGCCGCCGCCTTGTCCCCCACGTCGCCCAGGTCGACCGCGAACACGTCCTCGGGCAACTCGGTGCCCTCCAGCGAGGCGCGGCTGGGGGTGCGCTGGGGTCGGCCGGGCGGCAGGCGTGGCTGCCGCTGGTGCTGCGCCACCGGGGACTTGTCCTCGCTGCGGGGGCTGCTGCTGCCGCTGCCGCTGCCGCTGCCACGCTGAGGGCCCCCCTGCCGCCGGGGCAGCGCCAGCGAGGGGGCATCCCCGCCCTGCTGCAGGGACTCGGCGGACGACAGCCGCTTGCGACCGCCCGAGGGCTGTCCCGCCTTCGCCCGAGCCTTGTCGCCGCCGCTCTTCGAGGACAGGTACATGAAGAGGGGCACGACGAGGGCCACAGCGGAAGACTCCCACATCTCGCTGACGGCGTGGCCGCTGGAGGCAATGCCGGTGAAGTTCTGGAGGAGGAAGCCGGGCTCTTCCTCGCCGCGAGGGCCTGGGCCTTGAGGCTCCGGGGCCCTGATCAGGCAGAACTCGATGACTGCCAGTGCGAGTATGGCGACTGCCACGCGGGACAGGTTCCTGCAAGGGGATGCCAACTACTTGCCATCGCTCGGACGCCCATTGGCCGCGCACTTCTCGATTCAGGAATTGCTGTTTTTTGCCAGATGATCCAAGCTGCTCCTCGATGGTCCTCGCCGGAAAAAAATTGCGCGCGTCCGCGCGATGCCAAGACTGCACTTCACACTTGCACCGGCCCTGGTCAGGCCGGTCCTGGGCCCACGGTCGGTGCAAAATGCCTTCCTGGCCTGCCGTAGGCGGGGGATGGAAGCACAGGTCCAAGGCCCAGGCTTGGCTTGGCAATGTTCGTTGGCGTCGCTTGTGCTCCATAGTTGACGCCCCCCGCTCCTGCACGCTGAGGAAGACGTCGAGATCTTTGAGCGAGAAGTGAAGGATGATAGTGTAATGTTTGGGCGCCAGAACATGGCCATCAATGTGATTCGGCTGGAAGCGAAAAGGGTGGTGAGTGACCAGTCGTGGTCAGCCAGACTTTCGTGGTTGTGTAGAGTGTAGTGGGGATTAGTGCATGTGCTCTTGAGCAGAAGCCAAGACAGCTACGGTTCAGTCGGGCCGGTCCCTCTACAGGGGGAATACTCAACAATAGTCAAACAATAGTCTGGGGACGATGTTTGAACCATTTTTTAATACTCTTGAATCTGTGTTTGAAGAGGCCCTGGGACACACAAACACACACACACACAAATCCCAGGATTTTCTATATCTGTCCCTATTTTCTGGATGCTCGCCTTCCCCCCCACTTCCCATATTTTCCCACATCGCCTGACTGTCGTCCAGAATGCCCCCTGCAGGAGGCCGCGCCCGACCGACGGCTACGGGGAGGCAGGCCCGCCGAGAGCCGGCAGAGGGCACACCCGACGAGGCGCCGCCTGCGCCAGGTACCGCAGGCCCCGGGTGCCGGGGCCGCTGCCCGGACCCGCGTGGGTCTCGTGCAGTCTGACTACACCCTGCGAAATGCTTAAGAAATCATGGGTGAAGAAATTCATAGTCTCAGAACTTGAATAAAAACCCAACATGTCTATCCGAATCTTAAGATTCACATTGAAACGTTAAGAATAATCGAGACCCTGGCCGAAAACTTAAGTTTTCTTAAGCATCGCCTAAGGTGTATAGCGCGCCCCGCCGATTCTATAGGTCGGGCCTGTCCCCCTACGGCGGGTTTTTGGGCGAAAAATGAGACATACCCAAAACAATTACCCCCCTAATGGGCAAGCATAGTATTTTACGAAACCGTCCCAAGACGATGTTTGGACAATCTTGGAGCATCCCTCCTGTAGAGGGACAGGCCCCACTTCACACGCTAATTTTCTCGGCGGGGAGCGAGGGGGGAGAAACGAGAAGGAGAATGCCTTCTCAGAAGAAGGCGGCGGGACTTCTCAGAAGCCGTCCGGCCTTCTGAGAGGGCTTTTTAATGTCTTCGGGGAAGGCTTCGAAAACTTCTCGGAAGGCCGGGGGACTTCCGAACCTTCTGAGAAGTCCCGCCTCTTCTCACTTCCCCACCCTGAGCTCGCCGCCGAAATTCTGGGAATGCCGCTGGACAAAATGGCAAGGCCTGGTCTGAAATTCAACGCGAATCTTTTCCTTGGGCCGGCTTCTCACCCCGCGAGCCGTTTTCTGACCGCCCAGGGCCCGGCGAGGGCCCTCAGAGGCCGAACATTGTCAAAACACCTCCCCTTGAATTTTACCCGCGGCACGAGACCGCCATCGGTAACTGCTCCTCCTCTGATCGCCAGACCGTAAGCGCGACCCCAGACGGGAGGGTCCCTTGATGCGCCGCCCTGGGCGCGCCCTGGGGGCCCCGCTCAACAGCGCAGCGCCGCTGCTGCCGTCCAGCGTCAGAGATGGGTGCGTCAAAGATCCGCCAGCGGGCAGCCGCCAAACTCCGCCGGTTCGAGTCGGGCGCCCCGAAGGGCCTCCCGAGGGGGAGGAGGAGGAGGAGGAGGAGGAGGAGGAGGAGGAGGAGGAGGAGGAGGAGGACGAGGACGAGGAGGAGGAGGAGGAGGAGGAGGAGGAGGAGGGGGAGGGGGAGGAGGAGGAGGAGGAGGGCCCCCCGAAGCCTCTCGGGCCGAGGGGCCGGCCCAGAGCGTCGGGCCACTGGCGGCAGCCGCGCGCGGCGCGCCTCGGCCAACGCCTTGAGGCGCCCGTGGCAGCCCGCGCCGCCGGCAGCGCGCCCTCCGCGCCAGACCTCGTCGCGAGCGCGCGCGCGGGGGACAGGCCCCCCTCGGGTCGGGCGAAAGGGGGGGATAGCAAAGGGGGGGTTTGAGAATCAGCTCACGTAGCTGATTTTCCCGGCGCCTCCCGGCGCCGGGAGGCGCCCATGTATCGAGGAATGGGCCCCTCTCGGTGGGGCCGAAACCAGCTGCATGCAGCAGATTTCGTAACCCCCCCTGTCCCAATCCCCCCCTTTCGCCCGGCCCGAGACAGGCCCCCCCCGACGTCGCAGGATCTTCTCGAGTCCGTGGCGTCCCCAGGTGCGGGGCGTCCAGGAGGGGGGGAGAAAAGCATGGCTCGAGCCACGTGCGCGGACGAGAAGGGGCAGCCAGGGAGCGCCTTGAAAGGAAAAAAAGCAAGAACGAAAGAAAGGGGGCCGTGCTACCTGCGGAGACATCATGGCCGTGGCCATGATATCTACCCTCCCCAAGTCCTCACCCCCATTTTGGCCACTCCCGATTCAACGTGGACCCCCGTGGAAGCCTCGGCCCATTCCCAGGACCGGTTTCTCGTCCCCGAGCGGATTCTGATGGCCCCAGGACTTGCTCAGGGCCCCCCTGAAGACCGAAAATGACCGAAAACCTTCAGTCATCTGTTTGCATGACCTGCCCCTGACTTCGGATCCGCCGTACTTTGGGCGAATTGGCCCCCGCCCCCAAAAAAACACGAAAACTCCGCACTACTGTTCTAGCTCCTTCGATGTGGATTTCTACCCGGCTTTGCCGTCGTTGTTTCCGCCATACCTCTGTGAGAATATCCGCGGTGCTGTTTGGAGGCGGGAAGTTCCGCCCCGCTTGTTCGCATCGTTTGGAAGGTATTCCCTGCACAATTTCTGGTTTCGGGTAACCCTGATCCAAAAAACCGTGCCATCTGTGAAAGAGCATGCTTACTTCCACTGGCTCACGTTTGCGGGAGTAGCCTCGTTGTACGTCCGCCGCCTTCAACCAGGAACGAGATGCCTTATGACGATGCTGCTGATGTCGACGGTGATGTTGATATTGATGGTGATGATGATGGTGATGATGGCAAGCATGATACTGATTATGATGATGATGCTGATGATCTTGATGATGATGATGCTGCTGATGATGGTGATGCTGATGATGCTGATGATGGCGGTATTGATGGTGATGGTGAGGGTGAGGATGATGATCACAATGATGATGATGCTGATTGTGATGATGATGCTGATGACGATGATGATGATGATGACGACAAGTGGTGCTGCTTCTGATGCTGATGGGTGATGATGATGTTGATGATGATTGCTGATGTCTGCTGACGCTGCTGATGTTTAATGAAGTCGAGGGGGGGGGGGGGCAGCCCGCTGCCTCGACCGGCGTGCTGCTTGCAAGGGGTGCCGCGGGCTCCGCGCGGGGGCTGGGCCGCTCCTCCGCCGCCGCCGCGGGGGGAGAGCGTCCTGCAACGTCGGGGTGCACCAGGGCGGTGCCACGCAGGAGCGACGAGAAGAACGGGCCCTACGCTCAAGTCGGGCGTGTCCCTCCACAGGAGGAATCTTCAAGAATAATCAAAAAAGAGTCTGGGGACGATTATTCTACTATTCTTGATCATGTTTGAATTTTTCCTTGGCTATATATATAGATTCTTCGTCCAGAATCCGTCTGTAGGAGGACACGCCCGACCTAACCCTACGCGAGGGCAGGGGGAGGGGGGAGCGCTTCTTACAAGGAGGCTGCCTCTTAGAAGGCGCTAGCCCTGCATCTACAAACGGGGCCCGCGCCTTCCAAAGAGCAGAGGGTGCTCCCCTCGGAAGAAGTAGGTAATAGCATGAAGTGTAAGTAGCAAGGCGGACCAAGCGGATTGGGTCCGGGACCTCCAAGAGAATTGCAAACACACAGCAAGGGCATGCCGATTCTTGACAAGTGAGAAGGCGCTTGAAGTAGATTTGGATCTGGGAATCCAGAAATAAACGTCGTTCATTTCTAATCGTGCTCATTCTATTGGTGCTCGTTTCAAAATGTCCCTGGGCCCCTAGTGGCCAGGAGGAGGCCGAGGATAGAACACTTAGACATGAACGGAACTTGCCCCCCAACAGAAATCAAAGAACTTTCGAATACTTAGAACCGCACAATGTGCTCCTGCTTCCAGCGACCGGCGTGGACCCCCGCCTGCGCGTGGCCGAACATGGCGCCCCCACGCGGTGCCATTGCGCGGGCCGCCGGCGCAGCAGGCTGCACCGGGGGGGGGCGGGCGCGCGCTCGGCGCGCGCGCGCGCCTGCGCGGGGAGCCCACGCGCAGATGTCGGCGCACTCGGCCCCGTGCTCTTGCGCCGCTCACGTGTTCGACCGTGGGCCCCTCGTCCGGGGAGCTTCGACCACGGGTGCGTACGCTCGACCCCCGGGGGGGCGGGGGGAAGCTGAAGCGAGGCAGGCGAGGCCTCGCTCTCGGAAGGCGCCAGGTCTTCCCAGAGGCCCCCCCGCGCCCGCTGGGAAGCGGCGGTGGCCCGGGGGAAGGCTTAGAATCGGTTCGGGTGTTGCTAGAAGTACCCCTGGCCCAAGGTGTCCCCAGGATTCTCGGGGTGGCCCAGACGGCCTCCTGGGGCCCACAGGGCTCCAAAATGAAGCGAAAAGCTGGGGGCACTTCTAGCAACAACCGGTAGAAGACTTCTCAAAAGGCGCGAGGGCTTCTGAGGAGCCCCGCCGCCTTCTGAGGAGGCCCCGCCTCCTCTTGCTTATCTGTACGCGCTGTGGATCGCACGCGGCGCGCCCACAGCGACTCTCGGTCGGCCTGGTGCGAGCTTGTAAAGGTGGCGGGACTGGTACGTCGGGGAGTCGAGCGGAGCGGGATCGGCTGCAGAGGCTTTTCGAGAATGCCCAGAAGGGCCGTCATCCCAAGACGGGAGAGGTCCTAGGCACATTGTTGCTGGCCGACGTGCCAGCGGATTTTTCTCGTGACCAGCAGGTGCCTCCGCGGGTGGGGGCCGTGGGTCCTGGGGCCGAGGCCGTTGGCCTGCGTGGCGCGGTGTTGCTCGAAGATGCCCCAATTTTGGACTCACGGCCCGCGTTGGCCGCGTGAGCACCCGTGCACGGTGCTGGCGCCTGGCCGCACCGCCAGGGCGACCCCAGCCTAAATGGGTCGCCCCCTTTTGCCTCGAGGCGGCTTCGTGGTTCACCTGGCCGCTCTCTGCACCGCTCCCACTGCTCCTTCCCCCCGTGGGCTCCGCGCCGATCCTCGTTAGGAGGGGTTCGACTGCGGGCGCGTGCCCGAGCCGCGGAGCGTGTTCGACCACGGGCACGCGTTATCCGACCCTCTTCCACCAAAAACGGAGGAGGAGGGGGGGAGGAGGAGGGGGGGAAGGAGGAGGAGGAGGAGGAGGAGGAGGAGGAGGAGGAGGAGGAGGAGGAGGAGGAGGAGGGGAGGGGGAGGAGGAGGAGGAGTAGGATGAGGAGGATGAGGAGGAGGAGGAGGAGGAGGAGGAGGAGGAGGAGGAAGCGTAAACTGTCGGAGGTCTGCGCGGGTCGCCTGGGTCGGCGCTGGGCCCCCCCACCCCTGGCGCGCGGAGAGTGCGCCAGGGAGGTGGCGCGGGAGACGCCGCTCTGGGGCGGCCAAGTGTCGACCCAGGGCAAATCGGGACCTCCGACCACTTTCTGCGTCGTTGTGTGTCCGTCCCTCGGCGCTCGACATCGAACGTCCCCTATTTGTCAAACCTCGCCTGCTTGAGTCGAACTTCGCCTCGTTTGCTTGCAGTAGTTCCTCGGGGGCGCCAGTTCGCAATTTCAAGCTTCGTTGCGTCGACAACTCTATGCGTCGGTCTTCGGCGGTCTTCTGAGGGGAAATGATGGGCCGGGGCTGGCTCAGGGAGGGGCGCAATAAACCCAGCAGCGACGATACATCGCCGATGTAGCGGCACCAAGCCCTCGATAGTAGAACCGCACGTTCCTGCGCCCAGACACGCATTGACGATGAATGGGCGATTGGGGGCCTGTGATGGTCCCCTTCGGCGGCCTCCGGCTGTCTTCGGCGGAGCTCCGCGCGGAAGCTGGATGGCCACGCCGTGACGAGGAGGGCACGGCCGAACACCTGGGATGATGTGGCAGCGTCGCCCTGGCCGTCCAAGCGAGAGGCGCCGAAGACCGCCACGCGCGAGACGCCCAACCTCGTCCTGGGCCCTGCCCGTGTCGTCGGCACCCAGAAGCGGAGCTCACCACGTCAGCCCCCGTCGTCGGCGAGCACCACCTCCAGCCGGCACGCGAAGCGCTCGACCTCCTCCACGCTGGGCTGCGGCGAGTCTTTCGAAGAACACACGGCTGCACGAGCACAGCTTGTCGGAGGTCCGCGCGGGCTTCTTGGAGCGGCGCGGAGCCCCTCCCCGGCGCACGAGGCGCGCCCTGCGAGCAGCGCCAGAGGCGGCGCCAGAGGCGCCGCCAGGGGGGGCCCCGAGCCGACCCGAGAAGCCCGCCCGAGCCTCCCAGCGATGAGCTGTGCTCGTGTCGCCTTCCTGTTCTTCGAGTCTTCCCCGCTGCTCCATGCCCAGCTGCGCTCGTAGCCGCTCTCCTGAGGGGGGACCGGAAGGGAGGGAGCGGCTCAGGGGGGAGATAACGCCGAAGAGGAATCAGCGATACAACAATTGATCGGCGCTGGGCCCCCAGAGCGAATCCGCACTCTTCTGGGCGGGGTGGACTATCAGCCCCCTGTCGCTGCTGAGTGAGCGATTGGGCGTCGACGCGTTCCTCCCTGAGCCTACATTCTCCCGAATGTGTCCCACTGGCCTTCGGGCCATAGCTCGTCTCTGCGGCGGCCCTTCGGGACACCCCCGGAACGCACTCGGCGAGGCGCAGATGCTGGAGCGCATGCCCAGGTTGGAAAATCGGCGGGAACCGACGAACAGGTCCGGGAATCTCGAACCTCGGTTCCGAGAAAGTTGACGCTTTCTCCCCTGAGACCAACGGATTACGTTCAGGAACTTTGGCTTGGCGTGTCGATGAGGCGGCCCTGGCGACATGCTGTCCCTTGCAAGTCGATGGCGTCCGCTCCGCAAGGCGGGAAGCCGGGAAACGCTCGGGACGCTGACTCTGGAGAGGTCGGGCATTGCGTGTGCCGCGCCGACGCATGCTGGCCCAGAACCGGCGGCGCGACACGCCATCCCAGGGTCGCTGACCGTCTCCACCCCCAATGACGTTGTGCACCCCCGATTAAAGGGAAATTAGGACACACAAATAAATACACACAAATAAAAATAGTCCCCATATTTTCCCATATTTTCTGGTTTTTTGTCTTCCCCCCCAATTCCCATATTTTCCCATATTTTCCTGGGAATCGAGAATTAATTGTGTCTGTGTGTTTTTTTCCCTCCTGACCGATGGGAGAACCCAACGGTACTGATATCTCGCTTCTCCCCGGACCTCGGGGCGCGTCCTGACCAGCATCTCGGGGCGAGCCCTGCCGTGGCGTCGAGGGCCTCCCAGGAGGCTGAAGAAGTAAGCGTTTTTTTCCGGGCGTCTCGACATTGGGCGGCAAGGGGGGGGGAGGGGGGGGGGTCCGGCTCCAGACCTATGCTTGGTGCGACCGTTTGCAGCAATGCGCCCACTATGGGGGAGGCCCCATCCGCTCGAAACGGGCGCCAAAAACAGCCAAGATCTACTCATAGGGGAGGGGAAGGGGGGGGGCCGCGCCGATCGGCAAAATCAGTGAATCAAAAAACGATCACAAAGGCGACCACGGGCGAAGGGCAGCGGCATCGGTAATTGTACTTGGGCGCCCGAGTTATCCCGGGTAACTCGGGTCCGGGGTAACTCGGGTTTGGATTCCCGAGAAACGAACCCGAGCTAGCCCTGACCCGAATTGCCCCCGATGATTTGGGGCTTTGGGCGCCCGAATTATCCGGGGAAGCTCGGGACTCGGGCCCGGGGTAACTCGGGCTTGGATATTCCCAAACAACGAACCCGAATTAGCCCGGACCCGAGCTACCCCTGATGCTTCGGGGCTCTGATGTACCGCTTAAGCCCCTTCTGCCCCGCGCTCCGTCTCACACCCGCCGGGACTGGAGACGCGCCAGCCCCCGCCGCGCAGCACCCGCCGCAGACGCGCCTCCACCGCGCGCCCGCCGGCCGCAGCCCCCCCGCCGCCCGGCCCGAGCACGCCCCCGCCGAGGTCCCCGTGCACCGCCAGCCGCCAGCTCCGCCGGGCACGCCGCGCCTCCTTCAAGAGGAACGAGAATTCAGTCGGGCATGTCCCACTCCAAGATAATGGAAGATATGGGGACGACTTCTCTACTATTTCTGGCTATGTTTGAACATTTGCTGGTGTATTTGTCAGTTTTCCTCCAGAGTCCGCATGTAGGACATGCCCGGCTTAGAACAAAAAGTATCGGCATACAGAAGGGTTGCGGAAATCCGCCGGCCCAACGGGCCAGAGGCGTGCTAAGATCTCCGGCAACAAGCTGACCATATTTCAGTTCGCGCGCGCGTGGCGGCCCCTGCAGGTGGGGGTCCTGGAGCGAAGAAATACCCCACGCAACTCCCTTCAAGGTTGGGCCGGATGCCGGACTTCTTGGGCGCGGGCCTGGGGGCCTCTGGAACCGTCCAGCAGCCAACGAATCGACAAATAGGTGGCAGGCGCTAGGGCCAGAAGCCAACAGCGTCCCAAGGCGGCCCAACTCGATAGCCCTCGATGCCCCCAACACGCCCATCGCTGCTTCCAAGAGGCGCCCCAAGAGGCACAAAGCATTAATTCATCACAGCTTTCGGAAGTTTGCAGCCTTCTCACCTTTTTCGGTTCCACGAGGGCCCAATAGGCCACAAAGACCGCCCGAACACAGCCCAGGAGGCCCCCAAGATGGCCCCACGATAGCCCAAGACGGCTTCAAGACGGCACAAGAGGCGGCCACACGGGCCGAAGACGGCCCCAAGACGGCCCCAACGGGACCTGAGACGCCCCCAAATCGCCCCAAGCCGCCCAAAATGGCCACAAGACGGCCCAAGAGGCCGCCAAGATGGCCCAAGAGTCTTCCAAGAGGCCTCTCAAGAGCCCCAACGAGATGAGAATCACTGAATTTCATAAGGTTCTTTGAGGTTTTCAGCCTTATCGCTTTTTCGGCTTTCCGACGCTCCACGAGGGCCCAAAGGGCCTCAACATAGCCGAATAGGCTCCCAAGATGGCCCCACGACGGTCCAAAACGGCCCAAGAGGCGGCCACACGGGCCAAAGACCGCCCCAAGACAGCCCCAAAACAGCCCCAAGAGGGGCCGGAAACGCTCCCAAATCGCCCCAAGCCGCCCAAGATGGCCACAAGACGGCCCAAGAAACCGCCAAGACGGGCCAAGGGGCTTCCAACAGGCCTCCCAAGAGTCCCCACGAGACTCAAAGCACTGATGTTTCTGAGGTTCTCGGAGGTTTTCAGCCTTATCGCCATTTCGGCTTTCCGATGCTCCAAGATAGCCCCCCAAACCCCCAAGACCGGCGCCAGACGGCCCGAGAGGCCCCCAAGAGGGCCCCCAGACGGTCCAAGAACGTAGCCCGACACGGCACCAAAGGCGCCCAAGATCGCCCAAGAGGGCCCTAAAAATCAAAACAGCCCTAAGAGGGGCCCAAGAGGGGGAACGCGAACAACCAATTCGAGCCTTCCGCCCCAAGACCCAGGAGGCTCCCTGCAGGCCCCACGAGGCCCCCAAGAGTCTCCAATGGGCCACGAATGCGCAGACAAACGTCTGCGATGGTACAATATTGGCGGGCGGGGTGAGCGAAGCGATCAAATAAGGGACGCTGCGTGATGGAACGAAGCTCCTTGTTGGCACCATCAGCGCATGGGTGCAACAGGAGGGCTCGAGGAACAACTTCATAATGGCATAGTGTACAAAAGGGCACATCTTCCGTCACCGCCCCCATTGCGTCGTCCCCCATGGCGCAGAGCCCGAGTCGACGATGCATCGTCAATGCCGGGCATCTGCCTCCCCTCCCTGAACCAGCCCCATCATAACACCGCGCAGAGGAGACCGCTGGGGAACAAAAGCGAAAGGACAGAACGGCACGAGCATTAGATCGGGCATGTCCTCCTGCAGGCGGATTTTGGATGACAAATTTTACACACCCCGAAAATATTCAAAACATAATACAGAATCAACCAACATATCGCCCCCAAGCAATTTTTAAAAATATTTTGGGAGACCCCTCCTGCGGAGAGCCACGCCCGAATTAACACGAGCAGTGACTCTCAGACGCGCGGGCCTCCCGGATCGGAGCCGCGGGCCCCGCTGGCGGAAGCTCCGGCGCCGTTCCCGGCGCGCTCCGCGCGCCCGGGGGGGGGGTCCAAGACCGATCCAAGAAATCCACGCGGACCTCCGAGCGTTTAGGGATGATGCTGCTCTTCTTTACGATATGGGGCATTTGTTGCTCTTCAAGGACCAAAGAACCCGCGCGTGCAAAGAATTATTTCTGCGGGCCACTCCCTGACCGCCCGCGCGGGCCGCCGCCGCCCGCTCATCTCTCGTCGTCAGGTTCCTGGCTTGCGCCTGCGCCAAGTCGCCGAACCCGTGCGCGCGGGCCACTGCCTCCAGGGACGGCATGATGAGCGCGGCCTTGCGATCTGAGCGGGCGGCGGCTGGCGGGGCCCGCCGAGCCGCAGCCCAACCCGCAGCAGGCAGCGCCCCGGCCTGCGCAGCCACACTGGCGCTGGCCGAATCTCCTGGCTCTGCCGCCCCGCTGCCGTCTCCAGCGCCTTGCTCCTCAGCGCCCAGCTTCTCGGCCCACAGCATCCTGATGGCCGCCATGGAGGGGGGCAGCTTGCCGAGCGGCTGCTTCGTGCCAGGGGGCCGCCCCTTCTGCAGATCCGATCTGGCCTGGGCCCGCGAGCCCTGCCGAGGCCTGGCGGCCGCCCCGATGCAAACGTCGCGGAGCCACTTCCCCGCCGTCTTGGGCGCCCTGGCGTACATGCAGCACGCCGCGCAGACAATGAACGGCGCCCCGGAACCGCAGAGGGCATTGAACTCTTCGGGGGCCGAACCCCGTGCGAGCAACGAGTTCAACACGCAGCGCCGACCTAACAGCGCTAGCACAGCGCCCGCGGCGCACCCCAGGACCACCCCAGGGGGGCGCGATTATCTCCACGCGCCTCACCGCCACACCGGGGGCTGGGGTCCACAGAGCAACGCGGCCCTACTCACGTAGCCTCTCCGCGCAGCACGCGCCCGCGCCAGCCGCCCGAGCAGGTCGCAGAGCACCTGGATCGAGAGGTCGCCGCCGTCGGACGCCTGGATCGGGAGGCCGAGCGTCGCGAGGCGGAGCGCCGCAACCAGCTCCGCTCGCTCCTCGGCCTCCGCAGCGGCAGGGGCATCAGGATGGCCCTCGGGCGCCGCCCCCATCAGCCCGGGGGCTCACGGTCGCCGTCGCCACGGCGCCCAGCGCCACCGCCGCCTCTAACGCCTCGCCACCCGCAGGGGTCCCGCGACTGCGACCCGCCGCAGTGCTGGGCAGCGCGGCCGAGCGCACCACGGGCGCGCGATCCGCCCACGAGTCGTCGAAACCATCGCCGGAGTCCGCCACGTCCGCCTCCTCCAAGACCCCTTCCGCCTCCACGGGGGCCTCGGCACCCACGGGCCTGGCCTCCCGGCCGCGGCGGCGACGGCGCCGGGGCGCGGGGGCGCCACGGGGCGGCTCGACAGCGGCGGGGCCCGGCACATCTGCCGCGGAGGCCTCCCCATGGGGGCCCGGGAGTCCGGTCGCTGGCGCAGGCGGCCCAGACAGCGCCTGCAACTCGGCGACGGCGGCGCGGATCGCGCCCCCCCGGCGACGCAGCAGGCGGCACGCGGCCGTGGAGCAGGAGCGGGGGAGGCCGCGCCGCGCCGTGCGTGGCGAGGCACGCCCCGCGGGCGGCCGCCAACGCAGTCGCACGCGCCTGGCGCTGGGGTGCCCCGGACTTCAGCGGCCTCGGGCGGGCGGCCGTCGGACGGCGCCCTGCGGCACGTGGCTCGAGTCAGAGAGGCTACCGCTGAGGGCCTTGGATCAGGAACCCTTAGATAAGGAATCCAGGATCTGGAGACCGGTGGAACTCCCATCGAAGCCTGGCCATGGATATCACCGCCGCCCTCATCAGATAAGGAATCATCCAGTGTCTGCAGCCTCCTGGGCACCTTCCTTAACCAACGCCCGCACCCGAAAACAGTTTGGCAAACAAAAAAGGTCTGATGGGCGGGAGCCCGAAGAGACCTGGTTCGGAAGCCGTCTCACCTGAGAGTTCCACATTAGTGTAGGAATCGTGAGCTCGTCTGCGGAGTCTGTTCTCGGGACGACCACGACCTCTTGTACAGCATGCACTGATGTGCACACGGCCGTGCTCTCAGCCTTTGCTTCTGTGCACATGGCCGTGCCTTCTCCCACCTCCTACTCCTCGACCCGCCTCTTCTCATTTGCCCATGTTAGGTTGTGATTTCTTCTTCGACTCCTCGTGCTGCAGCATCTCCAAGAGCGGCTCCGCGCGCCCCAGGAGGCAGTCGCACCCGGCGAGGTCGGCCGCGCGGTGCCCGTCGAAGATCGCCACGCGGCTTGCAAGCCTGGCGAAACGGCTGGGACGTTTTTCAATTATCCCAGTGCGACCCTACCTAGGAGTTGGAGGATCTAGCAAAGCAACATCTATGTGAAGCTAAGCTAAGCTAAGATGAAGCTAAGCTAAGATGAAATAAGCTAAGCTAAGATGAGATAAGCAACGCTAAGCTAAGGGAACGTAACTGGGGGAACCGCGGGGCGGACACTGGGGGAACCGCACGGGGCGAGTTGCACTGCCCGGCCCTTTAAGCATACCGAGTAAGAACCCTTCTAGGCAGAGCCTAGGTAGGGAAAAACATTCATCTGCAACAAAGCAAAAATAACAACAAATTGTTCCCAGAAGCGGGAACAACCAAACGGTGCCGAGAACGAAAGCAGAACCAGAACCGGCACGAAGAAGGCGCTGGAACCAGCTAAACACAACTGCACAGCGGGACCGGCTTCAAGCGCTGCCCTGTGGCTTTTGAGGCCAACCGGCCGACGAGAAGACACCGGTAACACGCAGTGGCTTGCGCGGGTCGCCGGCGCGGCACACCACACTGGAAACAGCGCCGCTCACGCGCGACCTTGCGCGGGTAACCTACAGTTGGCCTTGCGTGGAGAGGCGCGAGAGGACACAAGACCTTTCCGAGAGCCACATTGCCACAGGAGTGTAAGAAGGCACGTGTCGCGAGGCACAGGACACCAGGGTACCCTTGAGCTGGCGGGGTCGACTTGGGCGTTGCATAATGGGGGGGTCATAGATGGGGGGTGGCAAGGGTGGTCCGAAAAGGTACCCAAACGGCACCTAAACGAGCCCCCTGGGGCTCCAGAGGAGCCCGAAAGGGGCACGAAAGGGGAACGTTTCTGACCCCCCCATTTATGACCCCCCCGTTAAGCCACGCCCAATCGACCTGCTAATCCGGGCCGCCGGTACGCACAGATGCCGTCGCAACCGAGCCCGCTGTTCCGCGTCGCTCCACCGGGGCCTGGAGCCCTGCAGCGGCAGGATCGTGGCGTCCTGAGCTGGGCGACGTCCGCACTCCCCAGCCCCACCAGCCCTGGATTCGCCCGAATCGATCTCGCCATCGCTCGGACGTCCATTCCCCGTGTACGGTTCGATTTCGTGCGTGTTCTCCTTCTCCAGATGCTCCAGGAGGTTCCTCGATGGTCCTCGCCGAAGAGAAGTGCACACGTCCGAGCGATGTCAAGCGATGGGGGGCGGGGGCAGGGCACGGATTCCGCCGCGTGCTCGACGGAGTCCGAGCCCTGCCCCCTCCAATCATCGAGCTGCCTGAACCGTGGATCGGCGAGGGGAAGGTTCTGGGGAACCCAAAGCAAGTACCGATACCGCTGCTCCCCAGCCCTCTCCCGGGTTGCGCTCAGACCAGGATTTCGAAGCGAATCCAGCGGCGGCGACGAGGGCCTCCCAGCTGGCCCAAACAGGGGACAACGGGCGAAGGGTGGCGTAGCGGTGTGGGCACCTTTTCCTCCTCCTCCTTCTCCTCCTCCTCCTCCGAGGAGGAGGAGGAAGGGGAGGAGGAGGAGGAGGCGGAGGAGGAGGATGAGGGAAGAGGAGGAGGGAAGAGGAGGAGGAGGAGGAGGAGGAGGAGGAGGAGGAGGGAGGAGGAGGAGGAGGAGGAGGAGGAGGAGGAGGAGGAGGAGAAGGGAGGAGGAGGAGGGCTTCGCAGGCGAGTCCTCGAGCAGCCGCCCCGCCGTGGCGGCCAGCGGCAGCACGGTGACGCGGGAGCCGTTCGGCGCCAGCGCCGCCCAGGCGAGGGCGGCCGCCGTGCCCAGGCTGCAGGCGTGCACGGCCTGCCCCCGGCGGAGGGGAAGCAGGCGTGGAAGCAGACTCCCAGACCGACAGAGACCGGACTCCCTGGAAGAGAGCGCAGCGCGCTGCAAATGGTAAACGGGCTGCTGCCCGGAAGACGAGACAGGCGGCAGTTTCCCGGAGCTCCTATCCAGCAGCCACGGGGTTGCCAGCCTCTGCCTGGCTTCCTGAGATGAGGGGGCGAAGAACCCAAGGGAGAGCCAACGTAACCGTCCCGGCATTCCTATAGGCCTGCCACGACATGTTCTTGGAACCCCCAAAAACTTCCAGGAGGAAAAACAATGATCTTCAAACATAGTCCCGATGCGTGAAACCAAAACATTTCGGCAAGAAATGGTCTTACAGCATTTCGCGCAGACCACAAAAGGTTCTTAGAACATCCTTCGGTGGGCCTATAGGCCAGCCAGGACGATCCGCCACTGCTTGAAAGCAAGGGGCATGGCCCAGACGGAGCGCGGAAACGTCGTGTTGATCTTGAGAGCATCCTTTCCCCGGCCCCCATCGCAGGTCTGCGTCGAGCCGACCACCTCAATCCTCTGAACGTGCGATGAGACGCCGTTTAGACAGCTTTGGTGGGCACATTGAACCCAGGCACACCTGCGAGCGACCGTCTCTGACCCAGGCGCCCTGGGGGATGGAAGGGACTTTCCCGCCGCCGAGATCGAAAGAAAGAGCCGCTGGTTGGAAATGAGGGAGGAGGAGGAGGAGGAGGAGGAGGAGGAGGAGGAGGAGGAGGAGGAGGAGGAGGAGGAGAGAGGAGGAGGAGGAGGAGGAGGAGGAGGAGGAGGAGGAGGAGGAGAGAAGGAGGAGGACAAGCCGAGGACAGGAAGAGGGAGGCCGTTGCGGTGCCCCGGGGCCCCTTGAAATCTCTGCGCGCGGCACGGCTGGTCCCCATCCCCAAAGGCGTGACATGGGCCCCACTGGCCGACTTCACCCCCCTGCGGATGCGGAAATCGGCTCTCTTTCCTTCGGGTTGCGAGGGGTACATCTCCAACTGGGGTGCTGAGATGATGGGGGTCTGGATGGGGATGGGGATGGGGACAGGGGTCGTTTAAACGATGCTGATCTTGGTCACCGTCCATCTTGGTTTAGGTCGGGCACGTTCTCCTACAGGCGGATCTTCTACGACAAATTCAAACTAGTCTGAACATAAGTTTAAACATTCTCACACATAATGAAACCATCGTCCCCAATTTTTTAGTGTTTTGGAGTACTCCTCCTGTACAGGGACACGCCAGACTTACATTGGTCAGCGTCAATTCGTAGGCCATCCCCGCGAACTGGCGAAGGCGGGCATGGGCCACGACCAAGACCGGGGCTGGCAAGATCCCGCGCCCACCTGGCCATGGTCTTGGGTCGCGCGTGCCCCCCCTACAGGGGGATCTTGGACGAAAAATTTAGAATGGCAAAAAAGGTTCAAAAATGGTCAAGCATACTCAAAACATCGTCTCCAGAGTACTGTTTTTCTATGTTTGAACATTCCCCCTGTAGAGGGACAGGCCCGACTAAACCATGGTCGGCGTTTTTTTTTCCCTCTGCCTGCGCTGGCGCGGCGGCCACAGCGGCGGGCCCGTACAGGAACCGCCGGAGCAGCGGCAGCCCGTAGAGGTCCACGTCCACGGTCCGGGCCAGCTCCCTGGCGAGGTCCTGGGGTGAGGTCGGGCATGTCCCCATACAGGCGGATTTTGGGCGAAAGGCGGATTTAGGGAGAAGAATTAGAAATGGTCAACAAAATATCCCAAACACGAGCAAACATCGAACAAGGATGAACAAACAGAAACTATTCCACAAATGCCCAAACAATCGTCCCCAGACTATTTTCTGACTGGTTTTGGAAATTCCTCCTGTGGAGGCTACTTTATCCTTTGAGCAGGGACCGACCGCCCCGGCATCCCGATGGTCCCCCCCCCCACGGAATGTTCCTAGAACCCAGCAATGTTCTAAGAGCAAACACAATGTTCTTAGAACGCAAGCCCGACGTGTTCAAGCACGACGGTCCCATCCAGACATGTTCTCTAAGAGCATGCGTGGGAACCACAGAAGGTTCTGAGAACATTGCTTAGTAGGCCTATATAGGCACGCCAGGACACTTCTAAAACAGGGCTAAGATTGGGATAAATCGCTCCAGAGCGTTCCGGAGCGCTCTCAGAGCGTTCCGGAGCGCTCTGGAGCGGCCGCGGCGCCCAATACATCCTCCAAACCCGCCGATTCTCAGAGATTTCGGGTTATCCCGATCCGATTTTGTCCCGATCTTGGCGTCGTTTGAACTTCGCTACAGCTTGATCATCCTGGAGCGAGTACGCGTGCGACTCCCACGCCAGCGCGAGGCCGGCCGCGTGCGCGTGGCCCTGG